CAGGGAGCCCGATGCGGGACTCGATCCCGGGACTCCAGGATCATGACCTGAGCCGAAGGCAGTTGCTTAACCAACTGAGCCACCCAGGCGCCCGGGTTAATTTCCTCTTAATTCTTTTACTGATTTTATACATTTTCAGAAAAGGGACTACAAGAATTTTTTGAATTAAAATATTATTTAACAAAGCCTTTCTTGTTTTTCAATAATAGTAAAAATACAACTTGAAAACCTCAAAAGGACATATTATTGCCAGGCACAGAATGTCCTTCATGTTCGTTATAATGTTTAGTGTGATAATGCAATTTAACTTTCGAAAGATATTTTTATGGCAATTATAGAAACTCAGACATGAAAAAATTAAATAACTCAGCCACAATCCGAAGGGGTGATTAGTATAGGAGGGTCTCTATTTTCATAGGTCATTACCAATATTCACAAACACATTTTAAGGACCTGATAAATTTTCAAAACATGAAGTTAACTAAATGGGTTAAGTGGTAGAGGAGGGTGTTTAATTGTTTCTGGCAATTAAAAATATTCTCATAGATTACTTAAAGACTTGCAGTATTGATCACAATAATAAGTTAACCAAATAAAGAGAATAAAAAATCAAATATGCAAGTATCACTTAAAAATGTATATTTGCATATAAAATTGCAAGCATTCCTATTTATATCTATAAATATGTAGTGGTGCACCTAGGTGGCTTAGTCAGTTAAGCGATGAACTCTTGGTTTTGGCTCAGATCTTGATATCAGGGTCCTGGGCTTGAGCCCAGCCTCTAGCTCTGAGCTCAGCATGGAGTATGCTTGGGATTCTCTCTCTCCCTGTCCATATGCCCCTCCCCCATCCATTCTCTTCCCCTCTCTCTTTCAAATAAATATATGAATAAATGTTTAAAAAATTATAAATATGTACAGAAAAATCAAAGTAAAAGTAAATGATGGGTGCCTTGTGCTGTCATTTTTATATTTCATTTCTCTCAGATTGTCTTTAAGGAAGTACGTTTCTAATATGTACTCTGTTATGTACCGGGTCTGTGTCTTGGCATGAGTCACTTCTCTTTGCCACTGTCTTCATTTGTGAAATGGAGATTAATCATAACAGCTCTCTCATAAGGCTGCAGAAAGTATTAAATAAAATAATGCAAGAAACATTTAGAATACTGCCTGACACATTGCAAGCCCACAACGAACATTGGATGTATATTAATTGTAAAGTTTTTCATTACTTATTACACATAACATTACTTTGAAAATGATCCTGCATGTGACGTCATGATCCTGAGACAGTTGTAAGCCCCGGAAGAGTAGAAGCTGGTTTCCAGAGACGGCTCTGACCCATGTATCTCCAGCAATTGCAGCCTAGTCCCTTCTTGGAGACACCCAGAATATAAATGAAAGTTGATTTCTCTGAGTCCTAATCTGCCTGGTGATATCTCAGTTAACTTTAAAAATGCTTGTGCACAAGGTATATTTAATAATATCGATGAGGTAGTTCACTGTCTGTTGTTCTTCTGTGCTGAGTTACAGAAGAGTTAAAGTCAGGTTTTGCATCCCAGTCCCAGATCAAGAGCAAATCAGACACAGACAGACATAGGGGCTGAACGTTGCAGGCCTCTCCTCATGTTTCTGAGCAATGTTTCTGCAGTATGGGATCCCAGGGGGAAATGGCTGATGGGTGTGGGAATCATCCTGTCCTACCCCAGAAGGACACATTCATACCAGGAATTTCTTTCCAGATTTCCAGATTGGGAGCCCTCTCACCCCATCTGCCCAGCACTCACTGGGCACAGGAAGCCTCAAACTGCTCAGACCTGTGGCTGATCATGAACAACCCCAGGGAACTACCTAAGTCACCACTTCTTCTGAGAAAACCAAACCAGCCCCGCCCTCCAGCCACTGACATGACAAGTCCTGCTACCAGGCACCTCACTTCATACCTTGTCACTGGGGAGCCAGCCAGGCCAACGGGATGCCACTCCTGAAAGCAGTCATCTTCTCCTGCCTCTGGGCCTGTGAGTTGTCCCCCAGTCACTTCAGTCTACAGGAGAGACTCAAGAAATTCTTTATTGTTGCCTTTTCCCATATCATTTGTTCATGGGAATTTCTCTTCTTTGCTTGCAGTTGGCCTTGGGCAGGTGAAATTGGAGCAACCTGAAATATCAATTTCCAGAGCAAGAGATAAGAGTGCCCACATATCATGCAAGGTGTCTGCTAAGGACTTTAATGATGAAGTAATACACTGGTACCGGCAGAAACCAGATCAGGAGATAGAACATCTAACATATATCCAGGAAAGCTCTGTTCAAGTTTCTTTAGGTGGGAAGAAAAACAAACTTGAAGCAAGTAAAAATACTCATACTTCCACTGCAACCTTGAATGTAAATTTCTTAAAGCAAGAAGACGAGGCCATGTACTACTGTGCCTGCTGGATAGATCCACAGTGTCAGCGTTACCAAGAGAAGCTGCACAAGAACCATCTTCAGGTCTGACCCATCCACATCCTTCTCAATATGGGCAACCACAGGGGCTGCACAGCTGGGTGCCCAGCCTGTCTCTTTCTCTGCAGTATTTCCTGAACTCTGCAGGAAGACATTGTAGATTCTGCTCACTCAGTGAATCCTGAATGATATCAGCAATGATGGTACAAATATAAGCATTTTGATGCTATTTCCCATGAAATTCAGTTGTCTGGGAACTCTGAAAATACAGGATGGATGGCTCAGAGAAAAATCCATTTGTCTGTTAATTCACTGCAGAGAAAGGGATTTTTAGTATTTGAATGGTTCAGAATGAAGAAAGGAAGAAGTCTACACTTTATATAAATATTTCTTGTTATTACTATTTTCTGATTTTATTCATGGACATTACAATTCTTCAGAAGTGCAATGATCTCTCAAAAGTAAATATTATATGTCTTTTATTAGTGTCTGAGGCCATTCTGAAGGAATCTGACCATTAATTCCTGAAGTAAACAATCAGCTATTTGGGGACACAGGAGAGACTGCTGTATAAATCCTGTATCCCAGAGGTAGAAACAGCACCTCACTCCACATTCAGCGATCAATATTGGGACAAAACCAAGACTGCTTTATTGAATCAGGTCCCTGAACATATCAGGTGCTTCCATCATGGTGAATATGCCTCTGACTTTGCTCTCCAGGGTTCTGCAAAGAAAACTAAAGATCCTGAATAAGTATCAGATGGTTAAAAAGAAAGATAATACATGCTCCCTATATCTCTAAAGAAAAGAAAGGCAATGTCCCTCACAAATCAATAAAACAAAAAGTAATTATTGAGAATTGAATTCTGTGATTAGTAACTGGATGGTCGTGAGTTTTCAAGAAATAGGGAAATACACAGTGTAGTGTGTGAAACTACAAAGGCTCCTCTCTCACCTCCTTAGAGTCAACTCTCAAACCTTGAGTAAAAACCTTTACTTCACAAAAATTGGGTACCTTTGGTAACAGGGATATCTGACCACATAATTGCCATGCCTGCCATTTACGTCTAGGTCCTGAGATCATGACAGCACTTTCATTCCCCGTTTCTCATTCTAAGAATCAGGTGGTGCTATATAGTGCAGAGATGCTATGGAAGCAGAATGAACTCCTGTGACAGCAGTGTCAGAACCTTCCCAAGAACAAACTCAGGGTCTGGTGTCCCACACCCTGTCCATCATGATTCCTGACTGTGGTGAGACATCATCAGGAGGAACCTGAGGGTCTGGTCTCAAAAGGGCCTCACCTGTCCCCTAACAAGTCTACAGAAACAAAGGTAAGAAGACCCCTGAATGGAATATAGAGTCAGAGAACATGAACCCTTTCCAGAAAGAAGTGAATGAAAAGAGAGATTAAGCTTCTCACACTATCTGTGCTAAATACAGATTACTTCATTTGATACTCAAAAGAACAGTGCAGAATTTGATTAATGTGGCTACCTGGAGATGGATCTCAAGAGATGGAGCCACCCTGACCTTTCAACACACAACAACCTTGAAACACTACAGTGATGAGCAGTAGGGAAAAGGGCACCTTATCTATGAGGCTTTGAAGTGACAGAATACTATGTAGCTGTTAAAAACATGTTTTTTGAAGAATTATAAGTAAAATTTACAACTTTACTGAAGTCCAAACCAAGTCTCCCTGATTGGACCTTGGCGGGCCTTACTAAGGTGTGCATATTAACCTCCAAAGGGGCCCAGAGCATGGAGCCCCAAGAGAGGACTTGATCAAGATAGAGGGCAAAGGTAGAGTCAATTTTCAGTGCTCCTACCATCAATATTTTTGGGTTTTTACATTTAATAACAGATTGTTTACATAACAATTTTAAATATAACTGTATAAAAAAATTAAAACTGTATATATGACACTTCAAATGGTTATATATTTATATTTTCCATCCAATAGTATTACTACTTATACCTCCAGAAAAAAGAAAAACTGAAAATCTGTAATTAACCACTATGGCAATACTGGGTACCATGGAATAGGAGGTCCACAAACTATGTCCAAGCCCAGCAACCCCCAGTTTTGCAAATAAGGTTTTATTGAAACACAGCCTTGACCATATGCTTATAAATTGTAGAAAGCTGCCCTTGCTTTAAAATGGCAGAACTGAATATTTGCAACAGAGACCCACAAACCCTAAAATATTGATCATTTCACCCTCTACAGAAGATATCTGTCAATCACTTCCCTAGAATGATATACTATGGAGTGACATTTATTTTATTTTATGTTTCCCTATTTCTCAGGGTTTCCTCAATGACCCTTTGTTACATATCCACTCTCCCCATATTAACTGTCTTACTCTGGATAAATCGCTTACCATATCTTTGATTCATTTTCCTCATTTGGAAATGGAAAATATAAATATATTTACCTGGAGGAACTGCTGAGAGCAGTAACTTAAAGAATACATATAAAGTTCCTACACGTGCTTGGAGCATGTCTAATCCTCACTATATTGAGGCATTACATTGCTTCTGGGTTATTATGGCATATTTGACCATAATAGAACAAAATATAAAACCAAAGCCATAACTTATTATTTTCTTTACTTTTTAATTTTAAATAATAGAACAAGGGAAAATAGAAAACTTTTCCTCTCAGACATTTCTAATAGAACACCTGCTACTGACATTCCAGGAACACAGCCATGCCTATGCACTTCCTTACTGTCTCTGAAGACTTTTTAGCTACAGTGGTGGAGGTGACAAATCACAACAGAGACCTTAGGGCCAAACAGTCTATGTACAATATTTGTTATCTGACTCTGTACAGAAAAATGTTGGCAGCCCCTTCTGTGCAAAAAAGAGTAAGGGAATGAGTTTGTAACTATAACTAAAATTCAAGATACAATAAGAAAATATTTTGATAAATTTTACTCCATGAAAATAAAAACAAAGCTTGCATGGCAAAAAGCAGCATAAGTTAAAACAAAGGGCAAATGACAATCCATGAGGAAATACTTGCAAGTTGTATAGCACATAATGATCAACTATCCTTAAAATAAAAACACTTTTTAAAAATGGAAGTAAATCATTTAAAACATCCTATAGGAAAATGGCAAAAGACATGAAAAGCTAATTCATGAAGAGAAATAAAAACATAGATCTTAAATAGATAAATAGATGCTCACCTTCACTTTTAATAAGATAAGTATCAATTAAAACTACATCGACATACCATTTCTCATTCATGAGACTGAATAAAAGTAATACACTCTTTTGGGGAAGCTGTGGGAGGCACTCTTACACCTTGTTGGTAAGGATGCAAAATACAACCCTTTCGTGGGGGAATTTGGAAATATCTAACAACAGTTCAACAGTTCACCTTTCAAACTAGCAGAAACACTTTTAGGAATTTACTCTGAAGGCACAGTATCAACACTATGAACATATATATGCACAAAAGTATTCACTGGGTAACTAAAAAATGTTGGAAATGACATAAATATCCAAATATAGTAAGTTTAGTTGAATAAATGATGGCACATGTACCTAGTGGAGGAGTATACACTGCTAAATATAAAGTGAGATTTAAAGTCGATGGTAATTTATATGCTGGCAATTCACAATTGGAAGGTGAAATGTAAAAAATACTATCATTTATAATAGCCACACTAACAATATCAAAAAAACTCTATATGTAGAGGTGAAATTTAACCAAAAATGGGAAGGATTTTAGTATGCTAAAATCAGTAAAACTTTATTGACACAAGTCAAAGAAGAAATAAATAAATCTAGAGATATACCATGTTCATAGATTGGAAGACTCAATACTGATAAATAGATTCAATGTAATCCTAACCAAAATCCTGAGAGAACTTTCATACAAATCGATAAACTGGTTGCAAAATTTGTGTGGGAAGACTAAGAACATAGCATTGCAAAATAGTTTTGAAAAGAATTTAAGCACTTACTATGAAGCTACAGTGGTCAAGACAGTGGGGTATTGGTGGAAGCATAGATACATAGGTAAGAGGAACAGAATCCAGAAATAGGGCAACACATATGTGGTTAACTAATTCCTAATAAGATGCCATGGAAATCCAATGGACAAATAATGGACTTTTCTACAACTGGTTATGAAACAACTCTTCATCTATGTAAAAAATAATACACCACAATCCATACCAAGCAGCACATACACAAATTAACTAAAAACAGATTCTAAGACAAAATGTAAACACTAAAACAATAACACTTCTAGATGTTGTGAAAATATGTCACAAAATATCTGTGATCTTGGGTTAGCCAAAGATTTCTCATATAGGACACAAAAAGTAAGAATCATAAAAGAAATGTTTATTGATTTGCACTTCCTCAAAATTAACATTTCTGTTCTTCTCAGGACTGAAAATGGAAGAAAAATAAAAAGTGAATCATATAAATCAAGTCAAATAAAATCAAAAAGTCACAGATTAAAAGAAAATATTGTCCAAATACATATCAGAGAAAAGACTGAGTTGAGATCCACCATAAAGAGAGAAGTCTCAAGGCTCAATATTAATAAATGAAACCCAGTTAAAAAATCATAAAGAGATATAATGGGAATTTGGGCAGAACTCAACTAAAATTTACTTGTCTTCTTCTTTTGATAGCAGAAAATTAAGATAAATAACAATTTACCTTAAAGAAAAACAAACAGGGGCACCTGGGTGGCTCAATTGGTTCAGTGTCTGCCTTCGGCTCAGGTCATAATCTCAGGACCTGGGATTGAGTCTTGACTCAGGATCCCTGCTTAGCGGGGAGTCTGCTTGTTCCTCTGCCTCTCCCTCCCTTCCCCCCACCCCAAGCTTGTTCTCTCTCTCTCTCTCAAATAAATAAAATCTTTTTTAAAAATAAAGAAAAACAAAGAAACAAAAATTAGGAAAAAGGACCCACATATGTTCAGAGGTGTTGAGAGCTGGAAATAAAACTGCTCTCATCTTACAGTAACATCCAAAAAAGCAGGAGGAACTGAAACGTAATTCTTTGCATCCATTG